CCGGGGGCCGCCCCCCGCCCGGCACAGGCCCAGCTGTGACCGGTGTCCCGGTAACCTTTATCCCCCGTTGCCACAGCGACGGGCGAGCATCCTGGCACGGCGGCCAGCGGGGCACGGCCCCCCCGCCGGACCCCCCCTCACCGCGCCCGGTGTCCCCCGGGATGGCAGAGGGACAGCGCTGGCCCCGCTGGCCCCACAGAGGCGTTTTGGTGGCCGCTCTCCGGGACTGGCCCCGCTGGCACCTCCCACCCGGAGCCCCCCAAATCCCCCACCCCCCCAGCACCCACCGGGCACCGCAGCCCCCCGGTGTCACCTCAGCCCCGGGTGACAAAATCGCTGCTGAGGTGCTGGGGGGGGGGTCATGAACGCCAAGGGGGGGTTGAGCGGGGGTCCCCGCGGCCCCCAGCCCCATTTGCGAGCGGCGGGGATGGGCTGGGGAGGGGAGGCGACATTCCCGGTGTCGTGACCCCCGCGGGGCCGGCGCAGCAAATGGCCCCGCGCTGCAGCTGGGCGCTATTAAACCTGACCGGTGCGGGCAGGGGGCGGGGGCTGCGCCGGGGGCTGGGGGGGAAAATTCCCAGCTCAATTCGACACAGATGTGGGGCCGGGCTGGGAGGGCGGCGGGGGGACCCCCGGAACCGGGGGGATGCTCCGGGGGTGTCACCGCCCCCGTGTTGGTGGCGCTGGGTTTTGTCACCTCCTGGGTTTGGGGGGCCGTGGGAGCCCCCCCCCCGAGGTGTGGGGCTGTCCCCTTCCCCCAGGTATGGGGCTGTTTCCCCCCGAGGTGTGGGGCTGTGGGAGCCCCCCCGAGGTGTGGGGCTGTGGAAGCCCCCCCGAGGTGTGGGGCTGTTTCCCCCCGAGGCGTGGGGCTGTTCCCCCACGAGGTGTGGGTTAGGGTTAGGTGTGGGGCTATTCCCCCCCCCCAGGTGTGGGGCTGCCCCCCAAGTAGCCGGGGAGGAGGGTGGGGGGTGCGGGGGATGCGCACCCGGAGCATCCCCGGGGGAGGAGGGGCAGCCCCGAGCAGGTGCTGCGGGCTCGGAGCCCCCCGCCCCACACAGCCCGGGACCACCCCCCCACCCCCCCCCCC